CCCCCCCCCCCCCTCCCTCCCAAGTGTTGAATTGAACCCAGGTGGTGCCGGTTCGGCCTTTTTCAGCCGTTGTTTGAAAAAGGATTGCACTGGTTCCAGAACGTTCCATTGCGTTGTGGTTGCGGTCTTTGTTAATTCCTCGGTGTTCAACATGATGCTTCGTCTCTACGGCGAGAGGCAGCATGTTGACCAGCGGTATTACTCTTACTGCTGCTGCCCCCGCTCCCACTCACTCACGTTTCGGGATTGCGATCGAAGAAGTGGGCCTCCGTTCCCGGCACCCCGGTCAGAAGCGGATGTTGGAGCAAATGGCTTCGGATATTTTGCGTACCTCTTTTCTGCGTTGAGTGCGGATGATATTATTTGCCCGAACGAAGGCTCTCAGCTATGCTGTCAGGGTCGAGGGGCCCCAGGAGGAAAATAACGGGGGCGCGTTCTTCCGGGATGCTCAGTCAGCGTGCAAGGAAGCGGACGAACTTCATTACACACAGCAGTGGCCGCCCCGACAGAGTTGCGGGAAGGTACATGGATGTGTACAGTATGTTTCGCCACGATGTGCATAGCGGAAAAGGCGTGTGTCGCTATCGAGGAAGAGACCAATCGAAGTGGCGTATTGCTACATATGGTGTATGTTTGTATACAGCAGTATCATGAAAACAGCGCAACACCAACCCACAGGGCATATGATGTGAAACGTCGGGCCATTGGCCTTCAAAAATACACGAAGATGTAGGGGCGTCCTTGTACTTTTTTTTGCTCTCCGCATACTTGTTGTTGTTGTTGTTGTTGTTGTTGTTGTTGTTTCTCACATTAGCTCTGTAGCACACCAAAAATGGGGAGCCCATGATCTCAAAACCCGGCACATACGTCGCCGCGGGGAAACAAAACAAAAAAAGGGGACAAACCACTATATATAAAAGGGAGGAAAGAAAACAAAATGACAGAAAGAAAAGAACAGGTACCGCACTGACTGTTCGAAAAAAGAGCCTTAAGAAATCGAAAAAAGTAATATAAAAACACGAAGGATTCGGTATAACCGTGAATCCGTGGTTTGTGGAAGCGTTCCGAAAATTTCGTGAAAGAGCGGCGAGAGGCAAAAAAAGGTACATGGAGGTATAGCTATACACAGGGTGCAAAGAAGAGAAAGAGAGTGGCAGAAGCTTTTGGGATCCTTGGAAAGCCGAGGACCTCGAAAGGAAAAGCGTTGCATCGCCCGCGAAGGCAGTGCAGCAAAGCAGCAGTGAGAGAAAAGAGTTTCGTTTAGGACTTGATCGAATTTGGTCAAGTCTATCCTAGACACGCCGGATTGATGAACAACGGCAACAACCTGCAGCAGCAGGGTCAGGGTCCCCCCCAGCAGCCGCAGCCAGCGCAGCCAGCGCAACCTCCATCGCCTCCACCGCCGCCTCCAGATGGACCACCGCCCGCAGCTAACCAACAACAGAGCAGCTGGGGCGGAGGAGGAGCAGTAGCGGCAGCTCCATGGTGGCGGACAGGCATTAGCAGCGGGAAACCAGCCAGCAGGGGCGGCGGGAAACCAACAGGCGGCGGGACACAACAACGCGCCTCCGGCAGCAGAAGGAGGAGACCAGAACGCGGGCGGAGCCGCGCCAGCCGGGCTGGGAGGCCCACCTCCCCCCATCAACCCTGTCCAGCTACTGCTGCAGATGTCGGTATTGCTAAAAGAGCAAAACGACCGACTCGGCAACCTGGTGCTCAGGATGCAGCAGCAGCAGCAGCAGCAGCCTGGTCACCTCCCCCCTGGCGGCCTCCAGCAGCAAGGTCAGCCCAAGCCCATCAATCTCCCTCTTGGTGGCCAGCTCGTTCTACAGCCCCATCAAGCGCAAGCTCTGGGCCAAAAGATTAACGTGTCGAACCAGGCCCTCAACACCCACGTACAGAAAGAAAGGCTTCGCCGCGATACCAAGGCATGGAGAGACGAGTCCGCGGCGACGCTGCTTCTGCTGCGTGGCGGGTGGTTCGTTAGCACCACGCTGTCAAAGAACGCAATCGCCCAGCTGCTGCGCAAAGTGGCCTATGCCGACGCAGAAATGATCGATTCGCTGATGACCCTCGCCAACCTCGACATCGCCAAGTTCTCCCCACCCCTGCCTACGGGGTGGACCCCGCAGTCACGCGACTTCATCGTTCACCTCGAGACGTTCGTGAAAGCATTTTTCGCCGTGTTGGACCACGGCACACACGCCGCAGGCGAACCATTGACCGGTCGCAGGCAACAGTTGAAAGCCGAAGTCAGCCGCGTTGTGTCCAAAGCCCGGGACTACCTCAGCCTTCATTCGGCGGAGATCACGGGTCAAGAAACAGCGGTGACAACGCGCCTGATCACCAGCACCAACACCGACATCAACGAGTATCTCGGGAACATCTCAGACCTTGGCGTCGCAACCCGCGCCGACCACGACATCTCCCCGCCGGCAGACGACGACGTGCAACCCGTCCCCCCCCCGCGTTGTCGCGGCTGCGCGATATCACCGCGGAAGGCAGCGCCAACACCATCGTCAGAAAACTTAACAACGGCCTGGCCGGGCTCCCGCAGCAACAGAAGTGGAAAGCGTCAGCGAGCAGCGCCACGAGCGGACATACAGTATCCCGCCCGCGGATAATCGTCGCACCCGTCGCCAACCAACACGCGGTGGCGACACTGTCCTCGTTCCAGCAGGGTCTCCTCACGTGGGGAACCCCCCACCGCGCGTGTCACTCCCACTGGAAAGGGCAAAGTGCACCCGCCCGCACTGCACCCTCAACCACGTTCAGGTTCACCCCGGCGTCGCCCCCCCCGGTCCGCCGCCCGGTCCGCCGCCCACAGCGCCAGCCCGGCCCCCCGCCCCCGCGACCGCCCTTGCTCCTGCCCCCGCCCCCGCCCCCCCCCCCGCCGCATCACGCCCCGTGGTCGCCCGTTACAGCAACAACTACAGGCCACACGGAGCAGCAGGAACCAACTCCTGACAATACGGGCCCCATCCAGAGGTGGGGCCAACGCGGCTGAGGGGGGCGGGTGGCACCACGGTAGCAGCTTTTGTAGACAGGAGCAGGACCGTGGCGCTAACTGAAGCGCCTCTTCCCGGGTTGGTGGCACCGAACGTGTTCTACGGTGAGAGAAGAAGTACCCGCTCGAGTAAATCAAGTACCAATAGTGAGAAACATGAAATTATGCAGAGCCAGAGTTGATAGACCAAACTCACCAAGAAGCAGAACAACCGTGTACTTTTAAAAGTACCAGCCAAAGTATTTCACGCACCAACAGTGATGAATATGAAATT